GCACACACGCACACACGCACACACGCACACACGCACACGCACACACGCACACGCACACGCGCACACACACACACACACACACACACACATTTATATATATATATCATGCCAAAGGATATACGATATTTATCTAAAAGACGAAAAAATCAATTAATTATTCGTGAATTAAATTTACATGAAAATTTAATTTTATTACAATCAACTAGATCAAACGAGGATTGTAATAATATTAAAGAAGTAGTATTATCCGATGAAGAATGTGACAATATATCTACAGATAGTATATTGTGTGACGAATCTAATGAATTTCTATCTAATGAATTATCACTTGAAGTAGAATCTAATACAAATAATAATGAAGTAAAATATGATACAAGCAATGAAGCAGAATCTGATACAAATACCAATATAGAATGTAACATTGAATCAAACAATGACATACCTACGATGATAAATATCTTTGATAATAATAATGAAAATAGTTTATGGACAGATTTACAAATGTTTATTATTAATAATAACATTCCCCATAGTACAGCAAACGAATTACTTTGTATTCTAAAGAAGCATAATGTTATGGAATTGCCTAATGATGTTAGAGCTCTACTTGGAACGCAACGAAATGCATCTATGCATATTAAATCTATCGGCAACGGTCGTTACAATCATTTTGATCTTTCTTGTTGTCTTGAGCGATCCATAAAAAAGTATTCTGCATTTATAAAGAGAAATGAGGTTACACTAAATATAAATATAGATGGCTTGCCACTTTGTAAGAGTTCAGGAAGTCAATTTTGGCCAATTTTGGGTTCCATTGAAAATATAAACATTTACACATCACCATTCATTATTGGTGTGTATCATGGCATGTGCAAGCCTAATGATGTAAACGAATTTTTAACCGATTTTGTTAATGACTTAACTTTTCTCTTACAAAATAGAATAAATGTTTTAAACATTAAATATACTGTTTCTGTTGGTGCAATACTATGTGATGCTCCAGCTAGAGCATTCGTAACTTGCACGAAAAGCCATAATGGATATTTTTCTTGTCCTAAATGTACACAAGAAGGCGATTTCGTTCGCAACAGAGTAGTTTTTCTAGAAACGCATAATACTTTGCGTACTGATGAGTCATTTAAAAATCGTACTCAACCCGAATATCATACAGGTGATTCCATATTAGAAAAACTTCCTATTGGAATGATTACACAATTTCCTCACGATTATATGCATCTAGTTTGTTTAGGTGTCACAAGACGATTAATACAAATATGGCAAAGGGGAAGTAAAGATTTCAGATTATCAAAGGAGAATATTAATTTAATTTCGCACCATTTAAAAATGATTAAGCCGTATATTCCATTAGAGTTTGCAAGAAAACCAAGAGATGTACAAGATATCGATAGATGGAAAGCCACAGAATTACGTCAGTTTCTACTTTACACTGGAATTATAGTTATGAAATCCATATTATCTCCAATTTGTTACAATCACTTTCTTTGTCTTAGTGTTGCTATAAGAATATTGATTGACCCATTAATGTGTGTGACATTCAATGATTATGCACATTCATTGTTATTATACTTTGTTTCGAATTATGGGAATATTTACGGTGACGAATATCTCTCGTATAATGTTCACAATCTTATTCATCTTGCCAAAGATGTTCAATCTTGCGGATCTTTAGACAATATCAGTTGTTTTAAATATGAAAATTATTTGCAAAAATTAAAAAACAAATTACATCAATCAGGAAAACCTTTACAGGAAATAACAAACCGTTTATTTGAAGAATTTCAGCTTCCAATTGAACCATGTCACATGAAAAAATATCCGATTGTTATTTACACTAAAAAGAATGAAATTTCTCATCTACAATTTAAAACTTTTAAAATTGGTATCAACAAAACTGATAATTGTGCTTTATTGCATGATATTTCTGTAATCTTTATTTTGGAAATTTTAATAGAAAATGGGATTATACTTATCCGTGCGAAACGATTTTTAAATCTAAATTCTCTATTTACTAAACCATGTCCTTCGGAAAAACTTGGTATTTTTGTCATACCAAATATTACTTCTTTTGATATTATTAAAATTCCAGCAACACAGATACAAAAAAAGTGTGTAAAATTAAAATTTCTTGACGAAAGTAATTCGTATGTTGTAATACCACTTCTACATAGTAATAATTAAATCCTTTTTTAAAAAATACATAACATCTATACTTGCATATCGAAATATTGTTGTTACTTTTCCGCGATGCTGATTGGTTCTCTCGCTGCATTTACTTTGTAAGCGGTGTTATTGATGTGTAATTGCAAATTATAATAAAAAGTGTTAAGTATAGCGCACGCCTATAATGCTAGTGCCTTTAAAATGAGTATGATAAATTCTATATTTATTTATTATTTAATAACTTTAAAAATTAATTTGAAATGGTATTAATATTTTATCTATTTTTTTTAATCTTGAGGATAAATATCGTATATCGTAACTTGTGGAACTTTCATCTAAGGATCTCAATGGTGAGTTTAATGCAATACTGTTAATCCTGGTATTGTGAAAGTAATTAGTCAATTTGCAAAATTGTCTAATACCATATTATATTATTTATTAATATTATTTATAATCGGATTTTATTGATTAAGCAATTGATAAGTAAAATAATATACGTTTATAATTGTTTATATTTTATACATGTTTGTGTATATATATTTACAGATTTACACATGTGTATGTATATATATTTACAGATTAGATAATGGAGGCGGATATGAAGAATTACGCAGTAGTTAAGTTCTTGTCGGATTGTTCATTTTCTGAAATTCCTACTGTCTGGATTTCTGAAGAAAATGATATGATACACTGTTGGTGGCCGCCTCGAAATGCAAATTGCGCAAATTTAATTACAAATTGCGCAAGTCCTATTTTTAATACCTGGAGCAAACATAAGGTGGAAATAATAAAATATTGTTGTAAGTACTTATATATTTTACTTTATATTATCTATTTTTGTATAAATATGTTTTTCTTTATAATTATTTATATAATAACATTGATAGTTATACATACACAAAATTAAGAATCACATGTATCATAATTGTAAAAATAGAAGTGCGTACGAGCACAGAAAACGTTTCTATTATTTGTTTGTAAATTCATTAAAATAAGCATTAATTAGTTAAACAAATATTATTTATAGCTTTGTTTGCATTACATTACATTTTGAAATAAACATTTTTTAAACATTTAATTCTAAACAGAACTCGAAGAAAGCATTTTTTGTAATCATGATGTAATTAATATGAAAAGTTCACAGTACTAATTTCTTTTTTTTTATAGCGTCATTGGAATCAGCTCGGAGAAGTGCTTCGGATGCAAATTATAACACTACTGATGAAGAACGGTTGGGACGAGGAAAAAGATCACATATGCCAACTAGTCGATACAGCAGTAGTGATGAAGGAGAACACGATGAAACTCAACCTCGAAAATCGAAAGTAAAAAGTACGTCTTACAAATAGCTATACAATTTTTTACTGTGTTGCATTAATATTATAACGCGATATAAAACTATTTTGTTGTAAAACGTTGAAAAAGTTACAGACATATTTTTATATTAATACTTGCTAAAAAATATTGATTTATCTTTTTTGTCCATAATTTTCTAATTGCCCACGGGATATGGGTAAAAAATTAGATTGTTACGCTTGATACTTAGCAATTCATTAAATTCGTAAATGGATCATTAAATGTGGGTATATGGGATGCTGTTATTAATGCACAATATAAATTTCACAATATTTGATATTGTTTATAGCTACTACTGCTTTTAGACAAAAATATCATCTTTAATAGTGTATTATATTTTTATTGACAATAGATTGAAAAATGTTTTACCCTGCAAATCTTTGCAAGAAAAAAAATTGAATTATAATATAGAGTATATTTTATTTTAAAATTAGGTTAAAAGTTTAAAAGCAAAGATTTTCTAATCGGAGTCATGAAATAACGTCAGGGTTAGATTGATGGCATCATTTTTCATTAAGAATTATGTATATGACTGGTACTATAATGTACACAGATATACATCTGAAATGGGAACGACTGTAGTATATGTGGATACAGACGTATAATTTGATGAAAAATCTGCGATATTAATAAAAACAGAGGACTTCGCGACTCTGATTAGAAGATCTCTTTGAAAATATACTTATGAAGGTTACTGCAATACAAAAATTTATTTTTTATATCTTCATATGACATATATAGAATGATGTTGGTCAATATATTACAGAAGGAGGAAAAACATTTGCAGAACATAAATCTTCGAATACGTTTACCTTGCCATCTGTTCCTGACAACTTTGGATTAAATACCCAAATGTGTAACGTTTCACAACAAAATTGTTCAAGCTCGCGTTCTATTGAAACTTCGTCACAGCGAGATAAAGGTGCAAGTCGTTACAATAAAATTCCACCACAAGGTAACTCACTTAATAATATATGGTATCTAGTATTATGTAAATATAATAGATGCTTTAGTAATTATTGTGATAATTAAAATATTTAGAAATCGAAAGTGGTTCATCGTCCAAAGAGATAACCGAAAGAGAATACACACAATTTGAAGATATACCTGTTTTAATCGAAGGTATAAATACATTGTTATAATCAATAAATATTATATATTAAAATACATTAATTGTCAAATTTTAGAATACATCCCATCAGAGGACAAAGAGAATTTCGTAAAACGTAAATATTTTTATTATTTTTTAATATTTTTACAAAGAATTTTATTCATATACTTGCTTCTATATACATATATGTATCTAGTTACAGAGAATATGCAAGAAATGTTGCGTGTGCAAGGAAATAATATACAAAAAATGTTACGCATGCAAGCAAGTGCGAATATAACGATGAAAGACATGAACCAACGTTTACACAAACTGGAAAATGAACGCTCAAAGCATGCGGCAAATTCAGATGTAAACGACGTTCTTATTGCAAGATTCTTACCTCTTAGTACAGTAGAACTTATTCAGGAATTTGATTTGTTATTAAAAAATGTGGAAGAGGCAGTTACTCAATTTGTAAGTTTATTTATATATTTATTTTATAGCATTTGTATTTCATTTAAAAGTTAATATATATTTGTATACAAAATGTACTTTATTGCTTTTACAGAAACAGTATTTGTTGAAAACAGGAGGAAACAATCCTAAAGATAATGTACATCGAGTTTTAAAAAAAGTTTTTACAAATGAGTGTGCCATGAATTGTTCCATGAAAGGAATGCGAAACAATTTTCGAGTTTGCAACTTACATTTAATGAAAATTCTTAGAAGTACGTGATATATGCTGTTAAACATAAACAAAATTTTTTATACTTTTTTATTAATTTAATCTTTTATTTAAGGAGAATTAGTTTCACGCCATGAAAATTTAACGGAAACGGATTTCGACAGCATAGTCGCGGAATGGTTACGTTTCGCTAAACAAAGAAAAACAAGAGAAGAGAAGAAAGCAAGAGAAGATGAAGAAAATATTAACATTGAAGGACATCGACCAAATAACGAAAATAATAATAACGAACAGCATTTTGAGTAAGATCGAGTAGTGTATCACATATAATCCTTAACCATGGAAGTACAAAGTATGGCTCGATGATACCGTAATGTATTTATCTTCTACCATTTTATTCTCAAGATTTAAATTTCTATTTTTTTTTACAGTTTTATTATTTTGCTTTTTTTATACGTATAAATTTTATTTTTTTTACTATATATATATATATATATATATATATATTATTTGAAACAGAGATTGACAAGCGCTATATAATACTGTTTATACAGTACAATTAGTTCTATATATATATATATATTATTTTTTATAAAGAACTAGCTGTTTTTACAACAAAAACAGATTTGATCTGCAATGCAATGTGTGATGGTATACTCATGTATAAAAACATTTAAAAAAGTATAATATATAATTTCTATATTTTGTTATTATATATGTGTATAATAAATATAATTATATTTTTAAATAAAATAAATTGTATTGTACGTACTTCTTCCATTATCCATGCAAGAACACTCTTCTTTTACACATACTAATCCCAGAAAAGTCTTCAAATCAATTCTGAGCGAAAGCAAACAAAATTTCGTACAGAAAACATTCACTTCTTTTGAAATTTCGTTTGCTTTCGCTCAAAATTAATTCGAAGATCTTTTCTGGGATTAGTATGTGTAAAAGACAAGTTAGGTTAAGTTTCATGAACGCAACAGATTTGTTAACGTATAGTAGTTAATAACATTACAGTAATGTAATAACGCATTCAAATACATTGCTGTTATAGATTTAATTTGTAACTATATAACAGTTGTGCGCTACATTTCAATAATATGTTATATTAATTGTTATGTTATTGCAATATATCATGAGTGGGAAATTACAACTAACATGGCAATTACATGTTCTTTGCAAGTTATATCACGAGTTACCTTCCATTTTGTCGCGGCAACGTTGCTGTTATATATCTGCGTTTGCTGGGATAAGGCTTAAGATTTTTGTCGTACGACAAATGAAAATGCATCCTACTATAGGATTGTCGTGTTCGGGCGCGGCGCCCTGTGCATGAACACAAAATTAATTGCAAAATTAAAAAATTGAAACGATTAGACAATCACTTAACAGTCATTACACATATTAATTATTATTCAACTGACATAACCTTACAGGTATTAACAAATTTTTAAAAAACAATAATTAGACAATGGCTAGCTATTATTTAGCCACTAAGAGATAAGGTTATATCATTCTTGAAAAATTTCTCTAGTGACTGTCTAGCCTTTGCACCGCAAATATTAGAATAGATGGCGCTGGAAACTTAAAGAAATTAGCCAACTGTTGTCTAGCTACTACTAGTTAAAAATTTATTAGCATTCGAACAGTAAGGTTATGTCATTCTTGAATAGTTCTTTTTATGACTATTATTCTATTATATTAAAAATGTGATTTTGAGATTTATTATAATTAATAAAATCTCTCGGCAATCTTTTATATAGAGTTTAAATTTTAATTACTTATCAGATTCGTATTTATATATACAAATAAGCATTTAAAGTATTAAATATTGTTTAGTAATTTGAAAAAATTTTTTTAATGTGTAATTTATATTATGTTGTAATATATTAAGGGAATTTAGAACCTAGTTATTACGATCATCCGATAGCAGTGACGATAGAGTGAACGATTGTAAACCCAGCGCCCAACAACGGTTACCAAGTTCGAATCCTTCAGTAAGATGAAATTTTAAATGATAAAATTTAATATAAGTATATGTATTATGTTAAATAGTAAAACTTCTCAGGAGTTACCACAAATATTTAAAAAGGCCGCAATTAATAAATCAGTAAAAAAAAATAAAAATTTAATTATTTTTCCATATATTTTTAATCTAGCCCAGGCTAGCTGATTGCTAGACGATTTTTAATATATAACTATGACTTTATAAAAGCAGTTTATAGTTGTCTAGTAGTTGTCTAGTCAATGCTATCTAATAGCTAGATAGCTTTCTTATGCTCGCTATAAGACAATATATTTGTCCAGTATCTGGAACTTCTAAGCGTTACATTAATAGACCGGGGCAAACTAAGACACGTATTGGCTAGTCGATGACTCGATGCCGGCGAGTTTAAATTTCTACTCGGGAATATGCCGTATGTGCAGTTCATTGCTAGGCAATTGTCTACCCCACCAGCACACAAACGATGGGCGAACGTTCGGAGAACGAATTCTCGTTCGAAGCGCTTGTAATCGTTCGTCCCTCGAACTAACAGAACGAAAAAAATGCTGGTTCGTCTAGCACGCCGCCAGAACGTTGAGAGGTCGTTTGAATATCTTTGGCTTATAATTTCTGCCCGTTATTTAATCTTATCTTTATGTGTGAAGGTGGCTCTTATATTATACTATTTTTCTATTTTAGGAAGTTACATTGTTAATATATTTAATCGTTTGTAAATATTTCATTAAATTAGTTTTAGTGTATAAAACCCTCATGTCGCGCCATTTCGCACCTATAACGTTGTCCACAGCAACGCTACTGTTTTCGCACCGTCGCATATATGCTTGAGAAACTCGATCCAACAATGCATTCATTTATGGCGTTTATGCAGTCACTGCCGCAGATATTTTATTTGATCTTTGGTTAATAATTTGGTGAACAAGAAAGATAAAATAATACATCCCATTTATATAATTTATATAAAAATTATTGATTCTGCAAGCTGAAGACTGCCAATTCTGGACTGCCAATTCACAGTGAGCCAATCATAATGGATCAGCTTC